TAGCGGAAGGCACAACGAGTGCGTGCCGCCGGGACATATTGTCCCATCTCATTAGCAGGCCCTGCTTGAGCAGCCAGGAGCCAGTTCGCTTCCGACCCTCCTCGGGACCCCCCGCCCTGCGACGCAACGCGAGCAGGGAGCTGTCAGCCATTTGGAGTCGGCCCCACTCAATTAGAGACAGTGAGAGTAGCGAGTCCCCTCCCGCAGGGGTAGCGGGAACGTCACCCATCGGCGCATTCGCGGTCGCGGCCAACGCACCCCTGGTTACAGCACCTGGCGGTTTACAGCGCGCCGACCCCATTAAGCACGCACATTCGGGACGAGGCGACAACCCGACAGCTCTATTTGATGGACCCAAAAGCACGCCTTGTCCCGCAGCCTCCCCACCCAATGGCTTCCGCAATCGGAGGGGTATCGACATCTGTGAACCCGGGGGCACGTGCACCGTCTGTGTCGCTAGCGCTTGGATCGTAGCGCACGCCGTCCGTATTTCAGTAGGGTTAGATAAAAATGAAATACGGCGACCCGATGGCAGCTCAATAAACGTTGATCCACGAGAATTTGAATGGGCATCTTAGCCAAAAATCTGTGCCCAACAGACAAGGAACCGCTAGGGAAGAGGAGACGAAAACAGGTCCCGCCAATTTAATATCCCCTATGCAAATGGTCGCCCGAATCTGACCGATAATACCCAACAAGCCCCCATTTGCCGCGTAAAATGGCACGTCCACCGGAAGCAGAGGTCGACATTGGACGGGAGAATGTTATAAATGAGGTCGGAAATTATAGTCGCCGACGCTCCCGTGTCCACCAACACCCTGACCTCGACCCCGTCTACGAATCCCGTAACGACCGACGAACCGGCCGACGCAGCCACTATTTTGTGGCCCAACTCGGACCATTCAATGTCCCCCCCGCCCCGTACGAACCCCCCTCTCCCAACCGAATCCCCGACCCCCAATCGCACATCCTCCGCCGCAAAGCGACGGCCCATGTGTGTCGTGTATATAGGCCGAGCATGTGAAGTGCCGCGACTTGCCGGGTCTAGTTGGGACGACTTGGGGCCTTGGTCGTCGTCCAGCCGAGGTCCCGTGGCGCACTGACGTGGAGCGCGGCACCCGGACGCCACGTGGCCCCGGAGGCCGCAGTTGTAGCACGTGATGAGGGACGTCGGAGGTCTCGGTTGCTCCAGCTTGCGGGTCGATCGCAGAGGCGAACGACCCCCCGACCTCCAATCCCCCGGTCGTGCTGCGGCGAACGCCTCCTCCCGTGGGCGGACGACTTGGGGCTCGGTGACCACCGGGCCCGGAGCTGAGACCCCGGCAGCAGTGCAGACAACCCCCTGTTTACGCTTCAGGACCTCGTGCGCCTGGATACTTGTTGCAACACGCAATGAACATATGTCGACTTCGTCGGCCGTGTTGATGGGGACCCCCAGGTCCTGCGCCAACTTCAGCAGTTCCTCCAAGACCATCGCATCCTGGCCCTCCTCGTCCATACGAGGGAACGCGGCGTTGGCGAGTGCCAACAACGCCGTGCGGTAGGCGAGCGCGGTCTCCGTGTCCGCCTTCCGTCGGTCGTAAAACTGATGGCGACACGCTGAGGGAGGTCCATAGACTTTGGCCATGAGGCCCAACGCAGCCTTGAGCGTGGAGCGGTCCGATCTCGGTGCGGACCTGAAGGCCGCGAGCGCGTCGTCGTCCAACAAGGCAGGCAGTGCCCACAGCGCCGTAGCGTCGGACTAGGCCGACATCTCTTGATGCGCCAGAAACCTACGTTGGAATGCGCCCCAGTCCCCGCCTTCCGCCTTGAAGGCTGTCAACGTGGGAAGGCGCTGCTGGAAGATTACGTCGTCCTCTACCACGTGGCTCTCCCCCGCCGCACCGTCGGTCTGCAAAATGGCGGCCCCTATGGCGGGTGGCTGATGGCGGGCCGCAACGCGCGCTGATGACGTAAGCGGCCGCGCTTGGAGGACTCCCGCCACGTGTTGCTCGCCATTCCCGCCAAAAGATGTCCGCTCGGTAGAAATGGCGGGAACTGCAAAGTCATTTTGGCGGGAATCTGCGAGGGCGAGTCTTTTGAATGTCCGCCGACGTCCCCGCTCCTCCCGACGTGGTGATCTCCGCCAGGATGGACGCCGCGGCGAGTAGCAGCTCTGCCAGGCGGGAGTGTGCCTCGCGGAGTCCGGCATCAGCCCCCAGCCGCTCGTCGGGCGCCCATGAGGGGTCCTGCGGCGCCGGCATCTCCTCCTCTTCTCCCCCTGATGCCTGCTGGCCCGAGTCGTCGTGGTTATCCTCGCGGTCAATCTCGTGAGTCCGATGAGTCTTCCTGGTATCCATGCCTGGAAGACTGTTTCACTCCTGACGCCAGTTGAAGTATAGTAAACTACGGCGGGAAACCACTTGACGGGTAGCACACTTTATTGACACTTGTCTTTCCACAATAACACGTGTGGTCACTATTTCTCACGCTACACGTTCCACTCGACACGTGTGGTCACTACAGCTCACGCTACACGTTCCACTCGACACGTGTGGTCACTACAGCTCACGCTACACGTTCCACTCGACACGTGTGGTCACGACAGCTCACGCTACACGTTCCACTCGACACGTGTGGTCACTACAACTCACGCTACACGTTCCACTCGACACGTGTGGTCACTACAGCTCACGCTACACGTTCCACTTGACACGTGTGGTCACTACAGCTCACGCTACACGTTCCACTCGACACGTGTGGTCACTACAGCTCACACTACACGTTCCCGCTACACGCTCACGGGCACTCCAGCCCCGTAGCATCCGTGGAACCTACAGACCCACCCCAGCTTGGGCGTGGGTCACGACCTCTGGGTCCCGCGGCCCGGCCCTCACACGGACGTCCGGCCCCCGGGTCCCAAGGTCCCGCCTCTGAGCCACACAGGGCCCCGGTCCTCACAAGGACAGCAGGACTAGGTGTCTCAGGGCCCTATCTCTTCCTCCTCCGTCTTCTGTCTTCACTGGTTACCAACTCCCCGCGCGCCTGCGCGCACCGCCTTATATAGCCTCCGCTCCCAGGAGACGGAGCCTATGCGGACCGCGACGTGAGCACCCACCTTAGTTGACCAATCACCACGCGCTGCCACACGATCCCTTCGCTGTCAGCGCGCGTATCACCACTACATCTGGGTAGCAGTGTTGAGTCTATGGGGCAGTGTTGAGTCTATGGGTAGCAGTGTTGAGTCTATGGGTAGTGTTGAGTCTATGGTGCAGTGTTGAGTCTATGGGGCAGTGTTGAGTCTATGGGTAGCAGTGTTGAGTCTATGGGTAGTGTGAGTCTATGTGCAGTGTTGAGTCTATGGGCAGTGTTGAGTCTATGGGCAGTGTGAGTCTATGGGCAGTGTTGAGTCTATGGTGCAGTGTTGAGTCTATGGGCAGTGTTGAGTCTATGGGTAGCAGTGTTGAGTCTATGGGTAGCAGTGTTGAGTCTATGGTGCAGTGTTGAGTCTATGGGTAGCAGTGTTGAGTCTATGGTGCAGTGTTGAGTCTATGGTGCAGTGTTGAGTCTATGGTGCAGTGTTGAGTCTATGGGCAGTGAGTCTATGGGCAGTGTTGAGTCTATGGTGCAGTGTTGAGTCTATGGGTAGCAGTGTTAAGTATATGGGCAGTGTTGAGTATATGGTGCAGTGTTGAGTCTATGGTGCAGTGTTGAGTCTATGGTGCAGTGTTGAGTCTATGGGTAGCAGTGTTGAGTCTATGGGTAGCAGTGTTGAGTCTATGGGTGGTGTGAGTCTATGGGCAGTGTTGAGTCTATGGGCAGTGCTGAGTCTATGGGTAGCAGTGTTGAGTCTATGGGCAGTGTTGAGTCATGGGCAGTGTTGAGTCTATGGGTAACAGTGTTGAGTCTATGGGCAGTGTTGAGTCTATGGGTAACAGTGTTGAGTCTATGGGTAGTGTGAGTCTATGGGTAACAGTGTTGAGTGTATGGGCAGTGTTGAGTGTATGGGTAGTGTGAGTCTATGGGTGACAGTGTTGAGTCTATGGGCAGTGTTGAGTCTATGGGTAGCAGTGTTAAGTCTATGGGCAGTGTTGAGTATATGGGCAGTGTTGAGTCTATGGTGCAGTGTTGAGTCTATGGGTAGCAGTGTTAAGTCTATGGGCAGTGTTGAGTATATGGTGCAGTGTTGAGTCTATGGTGCAGTGTTGAGTCTATGGTGCAGTGTTGAGTCTATGGGTAGCAGTGTTGAGTCTATGGGTGGTGTGAGTCTATGGGCAGTGTTGAGTCTATGGGTAGTAGTGTTGAGTCTATGGGCAGTGCTGAGTCTATGGGTAGCAGTGTTGAGTCTATGGGCAGTGTTGAGTCTATGGGCAGTGTTGAGTCTATGGGTAACAGTGTTGAGTCTATGGGCAGTGTTGAGTCTATGGGTAACAGTGTTGAGTCTATGGGTAGTGTGAGTCTATGGGTAACAGTGTTGAGTGTATGGGCAGTGTTGAGTGTATGGGTAGTGTGAGTCTATGGGTGACAGTGTTGAGTCTATGGGCAGTGTTGAGTCTATGGGCAGTGTTGAGTCTATGGGTAACAGTGTTGAGTATATGGGTAACAGTGTTAAGTCTATGGGTAGTGTGAGTCTATGGGTAGTGTGAGTCTATGGGTAACAGTGTTGAGTGTATGGGCAGTGTTGAGTCTATGGGCAGTGTTGAGTCTATGGGTAACAGTGTTGAGTCTATGGGTAACAGTGTTGAGTCTATGGGCAGTGTTGAGTCTATGGGTAATGTGAGTCTATGGGTGACAGTGTTGAGCCTATGGGTAGCAGTGTTGAGTCTATGGGCAGTGCTGAGTCTATGGGCAGTGTTGAGTCTATGGGCAGTGTTGAGTCTATGGGCAGTGTTGAGTCTATGGGCAGTGTTGAGTCTATGGGCAGTGTTGAGTCTACAGACAGTGTTGAGTCTATGGGCAGTGTGAGTCTATGGGCAGTGTGAGTCGATGGGCAGTGTTGAGTCTATGGGCAGTGTTGAGTCTATGGTGCAGTGTTGAGTCTATGGGTAGCAGTGTTGAGTCTATGGGTAGTGTGAGTCTATGGGCAGTGTTGAGTCTATGGGCAGTGTTGAGTCTATGGGTAGTGTTGAGTCTATGGGTAGCAGTGTTGAGTCTATGGGTAGTGTGAGTCTATGGGCAGTGTTGAGTCTATGGGCAGTGTTGAGTCTATGGGTAGTGTTGAGTCTATGGGTAGCAGTGTTGAGTCTATGGGTAGCAGTGTTGAGTCTATGGGCAGTGTGAGTCTATGGGCAGTGTTGAGTCTATGGGCAGTGTTGAGTCTATGGGCAGTGTGAGTCGATGGGCAGTGTTGAGTCTATGGGCAGTGTTGAGTCTATGGTGCAGTGTTGAGTCTATGGGTAGCAGTGTTGAGTCTATGGGTAGTGTGAGTCTATGGGCAGTGTTGAGTCTATGGGCAGTGTTGAGTCTATGGGTAGTGTTGAGTCTATGGGTAGCAGTGTTGAGTCTATGGGTAGTGTGAGTCTATGGGCAGTGTTGAGTCTATGGGCAGTGTTGAGTCTATGGGTAGTGTTGAGTCTATGGGTAGCAGTGTTGAGTCTATGGGTAGCAGTGTTGAGTCTATGGGCAGTGTGAGTCTATGGGCAGTGTTGAGTCTATGGGCAGTGTTGAGTCTATGGGTAACAGTGTTGAGTCTATGGGCAGTGTTGAGTCTATGGGTAACAGTGTTGAGTGTATGGGCAGTGTTGAGTGTATGGGCAGTGTTGAGTCTATGGGTAGTGTGAGTCTATGGGTGACAGTGTTGAGTCTATGGGTAGCAGTGTTGAGTCTATGGGCAGTGCTGAGTCTATGGGCAGTGTTGAGTCTATGGGCAGTGTTGAGTCTATTGGCAGTGTTGAGCCTATGGGCAGTGTTGAGTCTATGGGCAGGGTTGAGTCTATGGGTAGCAGTGTTGAGTCTATGGGTAGCAGTGTTGAGTCTATGGGTAGTGTGAGACTATGGGTAGTGTGAGTCTATGGGTAGTGTGAGTCTATGGGTAGCAGTGTTGCGTCTATGGTGCAGTGTTGAGTCTATGGGTAGTGTTGAGTCTATGGAAAGTGTTGAGTCTATGGGCAGTGTTGAGTCTATGGGCAGTGTTGAGTCTATGGGCAGTGTTGAGTCTATGGGCAGTGTTGAGTCTATGGGCAGTGTTGAGTCTATGGGTAGCAGTGTTGAGTCTATGGGTAGTGTGAGTCTATGGGTAGTGTGAGTCTATGGGTAGCAGTGTTGAGTCTATGGGCAGTGTTGAGTCTATGGGCAGTGTTGAGTCTATGGGTAGCAGTGTTGAGTCTATGGGTAGTGTGAGTCTATGGGCAGTGTTGAGTCTATGGTGCAGTGTTGAGTCTATGGGCAGTGTGAGTCTATGGGCAGTGTTGAGTCTATGGGCAGTGTTGAGTCTATGGGCAGTGTTGAGTCTATGGGCAGTGTTGAGTCTATGGTGCAGTGTTGAGTCTATGGGTAGCAGTGTTGAGTCTATGGGCAGGGCATACGACGTACGTATCCGAGCATGACAAGCGGCGGTGTGCGTGTGGGTGGTGTGTGGGGTGGTAGCGCTACTCACGATGAACCACTGGGTGACCACCTCGTCGCCCACGGAGCTGGTGACCGTGCAGGGGATCACCAGCGGACTTCCCAGTTCCACCTCGACCAGCGGGGTCACCGCCACGGAGATCGCCGCTTCGACGCCTGCGGCGATGACGGTCATCGCACGCAAGTCACGCTGCAGACTGTGTATAGTGGTGTAGTGTATAGTAGTGTAGTGTATAGTGTAGTGTATAGTAGTGTAGTGTATAGCGTAGTGTATAGTGTAGTGTATAGTAGTGTAGTGTATGTAGTGTATAGTGTAGTTTATAGTACTGTAGTGTAGAGGATAGTAGTGTAGTGTATAATGTATTGTGCAGCAGTATATATTAGTGCAGAGTATGTTACTGTAGTGTATCGTAGTGTAGTGTATAGTAGTGTATAGTAGTGTAGTGTATAGTGTAGTGTATAGTGTAGTGTAGTATATAGTATAGTGTAGTGTATAGTGTAGTGTAAAGTAGTGTATAGTGTAGTGTATAGTAGTGTAGTGTATTAGTGAAGTGTATAATGTAGTGTGTAGTGTATAGTAGTGTAGTGTATAGTAGTGTATAGTGTAGTGTATAGTAGTGTAGTGTATAGTGTAGTGTATAGTAGTGCAGTGTATAGTAGTGTAGTGTATAGTGTATAATAGTGTAGTGTATAGTGTAGTGTATAGTGTAGTGTATAGTTTAGTGTAAAGTAGTGTATAGTTTAGTGTAAAGTAGTGTATAGTGTAGTGTAAAGTAGTGTATAGTGTAGTGTAGTGTATAGTGTAGTGTATTAGTGAAGTGTATAGTGTAGTGTATAGTGTAGTGTAAAGTAGTGTATAGTGTAGTGTATAGTGTAGTGTATAGTAGTGTAGTGTATAGTGTAGTGCAGGGGTCCTCAAACTACGGCCCGCGGGCCACATGCGGCCCGCCGAGGACATTTATCCGGCCCGCCGGGTGTTTTTGCCGCCGCTGCCTGTCTGTTACTTTTTTTCTACATGAGAAGGACGGTCATTGGTGGAAGAGGGAGAGGGGGCGGAGTTCCCCCCAATCAGACTGCATTGATGGGCAGTGCAGTCTGTATGTCTCTGTGTGGGCAAAGTTATTGCTGGTATATTGTTTTTGTAGCGCTGTATATATATTGGTATTTTACTAATAGCAATTTTGACTCCCTAGGAAACAATGATGTCAAGAAAGAGAAACATTTACTCGGAGTGTAGGATATTCAAAGAACAGTGGACTTATGATTACTTTTTCATGCAGTACAAGGAAAGAGCTGTGTGTCTGATATGCCAGAATATAGTGTCTGTGTTCAAAGAATACAATTTACGTCGACACTATGAAACTCAACATAAAGATAAATATGATTGTTTGGTCGGAGGAGTGAGAAAAGATAAAATATTAAAACTGAAAAATACATTAGCAACTCAGCAAAATACTTTTGTGAAGCAGAAGCAGCTAAATATTTCATCACTGCAAGCAAGTTTTCAAGTTGCCAAGCTAATAGCAGACCATTCGTGGAGGGAGAATTTGTTAAAGAATGCCTTCTTTCTGTTGCCAAAGAGATGTGTCCAGAGAAGGCCGATTTATTTAGTACAGTGAGTCTTTCAGGACCTACAATTACACGGAGGATTGAAGAAATGGGAGACAATTTGCATCAGCATTTGCAAAACTCCACAAAAAAACTTTCCTATTTTTCCTTGGCACTCGACGAAAGCAATGATGTTCGTGATTCTGCACAACTTCTAATTTTTATTCGTGGGACGAATGACTATTTCGAAGTCACAGAAGAGCTTGCTGCACTGCAAAGCATCAAAGGAACAACTATAGGAGAGGATATCTTTCGATTTAAAGCTTTCATGCCTGCAGGGATTCATCTTCTTGGTTCTTTCGGTAAAGTCACGTAGAAGGGAAGTAATAAAATAATTTGCATATCAAGAGGAATTTAGCATATGTATGGGAAATGCAGGAAAGTTATTAGTACTACATATGCAGCACGGGCATATGTAGTACTAATCACATTCCTGCATTTCCCATACATATGCTAAATTCCTCTTGATATGCAAATTATTTTGTCAAGGCGCTCTTTCCCCCGTTTCCAACCCAGCTTATATATGCTCCAAGCTCGTGTGCTGTTTCATTCAGACGCTGTCTCCCCGACAGACCTGGTTTTCACCTGAGGACGGCTGCTTGCGTTGTGGCCGAAACGTCGTGAGAATTATTTTATTATGTTTTATTTTTATTATTTTATTACTTCCCTTCTACGTGACTTTACCGAAAGAACCAAGAAGAGAGGATATCTATGAAAAGGTTTGCCAAACTGTGAATGGTTTAGAGCTGAACTGGGCTAAACTAGCCAGTGTGACAACTGATGGTGCTCCTAGCATGGTGGGGTCTAAGAAAGGAGTAATTTCTCGCATTAACCAAGAAATGGACAAACATAACCATTCTCATCCAATAGCCATACACTGCCTCATCCACCAACAAGCGCTGTGTAGTAAATCACTGAAGTGGGACTCTGTTATGAAATTTGTGGTATCTTGTGTTAACTTCATTAGAGCTCATGCACTAAACCACAGACAATTTCAGGAATTTATGTCTGAGCTAAATGTTGACTATGAAGATGTTCTGTATCACACAGAAGTCCGTTGGCTGAGTCGAGGGAGAGTTTGAAAACGTTTCTATGACTTACTTCCACAGATTACAGCTTTTCTGCTTTAAAAAAACAAAGAAGTACCAGAGCTCAATGATGCAGAATGGAAATGGCACCTTGCCTTTCTGACAGATGTAACAGAGCTACTCAACAGTTTCAATGTGCAACTTCAAGGAAAGGGGAAGCTCATCTGTGATATGCAATCACATGTCAAAGCATTTGAAGTAAAATTAGGCCTCCTCATTAAACAAGTGAAGGAGGAAAACTTCTGCCATCTCCCCACAACTCAAAATCTGTTAGCGGAAAAACCATTGGTTGCATTCCCAAACAAAACATGTGTGGATTCACTGGAAAAATTGCAAAAGGAGTTCCAATTTGGATTTAAAGAGCTTCATCTCCATGAACAGGACATACAGCTTTTCCGTAACCCATTTTCTATTGACATTGAAAATGTGGATACAATTTACCAAATGGAACTGGCTGAACTGCAGAATTGTGACTCTCTGAAAGACGCACTCAAGTCAAGCAGCCTTCATAATTTCTATGCATCTCTCCCCTCTGAGACATATCGTCATCTCAGGAATCATGCACTCAAAATGGCAACCATCTTTGGCAGCACTTATGTCTGTGAACAGACTTTTTCCAGAATGAAACATTTGAAATCTCCAACCAGATCTAGACTAACGGATGCACACTTGCATCACTTGTTACGACTAGCAGTGACAAATATGGAACCGGACATTGACCATCTCATTAGCCAAAAGCAGGCCCATAGTTTTCATTCAAATACTGGCAAGTTTGTTGATTTAATTTTACTTGTTCTTCATTTTAAATATTGTATTTGTTCCCGTTTTGTTTCTTCACTTCAAAATAAGATATATGCAGTGTGCATAGGAATTTGTTCATAGTTTTTTTTTTACTATAGTCCGGCCCTCCAACGGTCTGAGGGACAGTGAACTGGCCCCCTGTTTAAAAAGTTTGAGGACCCCTGGTGTAGTGTATAGTGTCGTGTATAGTGTAGTGTATAATGTAGTGTATAGTGTAGTGTAAAGTGTAGTGTATAGTGTAGTGTATAGTGTAGTGTAAAGTAGTGTATAGTGTAGTGTATAGTGTAGTGTAGTAGTGAAGTGTATAGTAGTGTAGTGTATAGTGTAGTGTATAGTGTAGTGTATAGTGTAGTGTAGTAGTGAAGTGTATAGTAGTGTAGTGTATAGTAGTGTATAGTGTAGTGTATAGTGTAGTGTAGTAGTGAAGTGTGTAGTAGTGTGTAGTGTATAGTGTAGTGTATAGTGTAGTGTATAGTGTAGTGTAGTAGTGAAGTGTATAGTAGTGTAGTGTATAGTGTAGTGTAAAGTAGTGTATAGTGTAGTGTAGTAGTGAAGTGTACAGTACACGAGGCTAGATGACGACTTACACGATGGAATCCACCGTCGTGCAGGAACCAACGAGGCGTCGCCCGTCGCACTCAGCAAATCAGCACTCAGCAAATCGGCACTCAGCAAATCGCGACTCTTTTTTTAAAGAAAGACTCCCCATCGTACAGCGCCAATTCGCGTGTGTGGGGTGCCACGAATCTTTCGCGTCTACAGACGACGACTGACACGGTGAAGCCGAACCACGATCGCATGAGGGGGGGGGGGGGGGGATGCTGCTGGATGCTGCCGATGTTCACGGCGGCGGCGATCATCACCTTGAAAGGAGACGGAGGCGAGAAACAGCAACGCGACACATCGCAGCGACATGTGGCCGGCAAGTTCTCGCTGCTCCTGCTGCTGCTGCTGCTGCTGCTGATTGCTTGCAGCTGCTGCTGCTGGTGCTTGCAGAGCCGTGAACCCACCGTGCCCTTCTCCTCCCGTCGTCAATCCTGTGTCGTGTGAAACACAACGCAGCAGTCCGCACCGTCAGAACACATTGTCCTGCTGCTGCGGAGGGAGCTGCTAGGAACACGTCGGATCCCGAGGAGGGCTAGGTGTGCCGCGGGTCGTTTGTTCACGTGTCATTGCTTCACCTTTTTGTTGATTGATGCTTGTATATAGTGTAGAGTTGTACAGGTTGGTTATGGTATTTATGGTTGCTTTCTTGTTCTCTTTTCTTTTCCTGTTGAGGCTCGCGTATTTTTTTTCTCTCTCTCCCTTTCGTTAATTTAAACTTTCTAATTATTGACAGCCGGGACGGCTGGAGGCTACGTAGAGGGGGGTAATGTAGTGACATAAGAAGGGAGGGGCTGCTGGGGGCTCTGGGTTCCCGGGCGGGTCCAGACGCTTAAGCCTCTGGGCGCCAGGCGTTGGGTTCCCAGGGGGTCCAGACGCTTAAGCCTCTGGGCGCCGCCAACGGGGGGGGGGGGGGCTGTGTGTGCTCTGTGGGATGTCTGGTGGCGCACACGGCCCCACCCCTCGTTGGACCAGGCATAAAAGGAGAGCTCCCTGGACGATCGGGGCCCAGTTGTAACTCAAGACCCAAGACCCACGACCAGCCATCTGAAGACCCTGGGATGATGTGAGAGCCAGTGGTGGGACTCTGGAACTCCCGACTCTACGACCTTGTGAGGGCGAGTTCCAGAGTGTAGCCAGAGTAGTGTACCTAGGCTGTGTACCTAGGCTGTGTACCTAGGCTGTAACAGAGTATCAGGACTGTTGGAGAGTTGGACTGTTGGAGTGTTGTATTGTAATAAAGAAGTTACCTCTACAAGTGTCTCCGGAACCCATTACATATATATTGGTATTTTATTACTAATAGCAATTTTGACTCCCTAGGAAACAATGATGTCAAGAAAGAGAAAAATTTACTCGGAGTGTAGGATATTCAAAGAAAAGTGGACTTATAATTACTTTTTCATGCAGTACAAGGAAAGAGCTGTGTGTCTGATATGCCAGAATATAGTGTCTGTGTTCAAAGAATACAATTTACGTCGACACTATGAAACTCAACATAAAGATAAATATGATTGTTTGGTCGGAGAAGTGAGAAAAGATAAAACATTAAAACTGAAAAATACATTAACAACTCAGCAAAATACTTTTGTGAAGCAGAAGCAGCTAAATATTTCATCACTGCGAGCAAGTTTTCAAGTTGCCAAGCTAATAGCGTGCACTGGCAGACCATTCGTGGAGGGAGAATTTGTTAAAGAATGCCTTCTTTCTGTTGCCAAAGAGATGTGTCCAGAGAAGGCCGATTTATTTAGTACAGTGAGTCTTTCAGGACCTACAATTACACGGAGGATTGAAGAAATGGGAGACAATTTGCATCAGCATTTGCAAAACTCCACAAAAAAACTTTCCTATTTTTCCTTGGCACTCGACGAAAGCAATGATGTTCGTGATTCTGCACAACTTCTAATGTTTATTCGTGGGACGAATGACTATTTCGAAGTCACAGAAGAGCTTGCTGCACTGCAAAGCATCAAAGGAACAACTACAGGAGAGGATATCTATGAAAAGTTTGCCAAACTGTGAATGGTTTGGAGCTGAACAGACGACCTGCTTGTCAGTTTTGATGTGGTCTCCTTGTTCACCAAGGTTCCTGTACCTGACACCATCGCAATCATTGAAGACTTGGTTCATCAAGGACTGAATGCTGGAGTACCCCCCCTGGTGAGACACTGCTTAACCAATACATACTTCACCTGGAATGGAACTTTCTACAGGCAAACTGAGGGCACCCCAATGGGCTCCCCCCTATCTCCGGTTGTAGCCAACGTCTTCATGGAGAAATTTGAGACTGACGCCATCCAGACTGCCACTCTACACCCGACCTTGTGGTAGAGGTACGTAGATGACACTTTTGTCATCTGGCCACATGGCCGGCCTGCTCTAGACCAATTTGTCGACCACATCAATTCCATACACCCAGCCATCAGATTCACCATGGAAGTCGAAAAAGATGGCAAGCTACCCACACTCTCACACACTCACACACCCACCCACACACTCTCACACCCACCCACACACCCACCCACACACTCTTCACACACTCACACTCCCACACTCTCACACCCACACACTCCCACACTTTCACACCCACCCACACACTCTCACACCCACACACACACTCCCACACTCTCACACCCACACTCACACCCACCCACACACTCTCACACCCACTCACTCACCCACGTCCGCCATTGTCCACGCGGCGTGGTTGCTGCAACACAACACGTGGTGGTGGTGAGGGGTGTTGCTACAACACGTGGTGGTGGGAGGGGTGTTGTTACAACACGTGGTGGTGGTGAGGGGTGTTGTTACAACACGTGGTGAGGGGTGATGAGGGGTGATGCTGCATAGCGGCGAGAAATGCCTACATCTTACTACAACAACTAGTGTTGTTGTTGTTGTGATACTCACAGGGTGGTGCTAGTTGTGGTAGTAAAAAGAGTTGTGGTGGCAATAAGAGTGGTAGTAGTAGTCGTGATAAGAGTGCTAGTAATACTCACAAGGTAGTAGTAGTGGTAGTAGTTGCTGTTGTTGTGGTAGTTGTTGTTGTGGTAGTTGTTGTTGTTGTTGCTGGGCGATATCCCAGCGTCTCTTCCCACCAAGGCGACCTCCTCACGCGCTGAAGCCCCGCCCACAGCAGGCGCGAGACGCGCCCTGATTGGCTGCCGGCGCTGACGCGTCACCCCGCAGCCCCCTCGCTTCTAATTGGTGGATTGAAACCCCGCCGCGTGGAAACTTCCGCTTTGATAATCGAAGGGATTTTCCCCCTTTCTGGCCACAATAAAACCCTCGTGTGTTTAAGACGTTAAAACACCAAACTGAAACCTTTGCAAGGAATCATGTCTGCATTTACCACACAAAGACAAAGATCCCCCGTATAGCCTAAACAGACTGTAGGGGCAAGTGCTGTTAGCGAGCACCTATGAAGGCCGTAACGGTACACGAGGGGGTGGGTGGCCAGCACCACGCCCGACCGCCTTTGTCTCCCCAGTGGCGATGTTTACACACCGCACCAGGTACTCATTTAAGGCTGAGTCGACCTAGGTGAGGCCCAGGACCGGTTCAGATAATCGTCACTGGTGTTGGCCGTGAGCGGGAATCGAAACCGGGTCGCCAGGTTCATAGCGCAGCGCGCTAACCGGTACACTACCGCTCCCCACGCACGCACACACACACATATACACACGCACACTCACGCACACGCACACACGTACACACACACACGCACATACACGCACACACACTCACGCACACGCACACACATGCACACACATGCGCACACACACGCACACTCACACACACGCACCCGCACACACGCACACACATGCACACACAACAACAACCGCCATTCGCCACTAAGTGGCGGTGACGTCACCACGACGCTTGTGCCAGGCCATGTGCACCATGCCACGCACACACACGCTCTCAGGTGTGAGCACACCTGTAATGTCACGTGACCTGTAATGCCCGGTTACTTGTCAAATCCCTTCTTGAGTACTTTTGCACGCGGAGAAAGCCAATGCGTTCAACTGGACACACGCGTGGAGATGGGTCACGTGTAGAGAGTGGTGAGTGAACCCTGTTGCTTGAGCGACTCGTAAAGCCGCTTCCGCAACTTTCCTAATTAAATTATTAAATCCACGAGGCGCTACTCACGGAGGGGGGAGGGGGGGGGGTAATGCCACGAATACGATCTGACTTTTTTGTTGCTGCAGGAAATTAAATCGGCTATTTTACCCCGTCCAAATGCAAAGACTCGTTTGAGGAAGAGAACGTAGAGTGCCACGCGGCACGAGTCGGCGTTCTCTCGCATGCGATGAAGCCTCTTGCATTCGTTATGGAAATGTCAGGAGTGACCTTTCGCCAGTGTGGCTAATTAAACACACAACGGCAGGACTGGACTCGATTAACGATTGGTTTCAAGGGCAGATTGAAAGTGAGAGCACTTTTATAAAGCAAACGCATTCCCAGCCCCCTGAACAAAAGAAACTGGTACGAGCCACTCTGCAATCTAAACGTGTGCGTCTCTGACTGCTGCAATGTCTATAAACTCAAACATCTGTTTTAGTTCACAAAGCATGGCCCACTGAGCGATGTAGCGCTCTTTCAGAAGCGACCTGGCTTTCACAAATGATAGCCACATTGAAATGGATGATGACGTGGACACTTAAAGCAGCCAAATGCTCTGAACGCGTGATGTTGATTCTAAATGTGGAGGGGGAAAACCGGAGGACCCGGAGAAAAATCCACGGGGAGAATATCATGCAGGAGATGGTGGGTGGTGAAGGGTGATGTTTGCCATGGGTATTGTGCACTAACCATCCTGGGTTTAACCGGCAGGCTGGATTGTGTGAGGAGCTCACAAATCCTTGAAAGATCTGGCCAAAGTCCCTTTGGTGAGTTCCTCCGGCAGGCAAGGCTGCGTTGGCTGGGTCATGTAGCCCGCATGCCCAGCCACCGCATGCCTAAACAGCTTTTGTTCGGCCGGATCGAGGGGGCTAAACGGGCGCGGCACGGGCTAGAGAGGAGATGGAGTGATGCGGTACAGGAGGACGTAGAGCTGAGTGGACTTGCCGATGACTGGTACCAGCGGTGTCAAGATCGGCCTCTGTGGAGGAGGCTCGTGAAGGACGCTACTGGGCAGTTGGAGGCAGTCGCCCTCCAACAACAACGGAGGGCGGAGGAGCGACGCTCACAACAACGAGCGGAGCGCCGGGTGGCTAAAGCACAGCAAGTTGGCACAGTAGGGGGCACAGGTGGTGCATCAGCCAGTCATCTCGGTCATCTCAGTCAGTCGACCCGTGGCACCTGCTGGGTCTGCCCCGTTACCTCCTGCCAGCGGGCGTTCGACACTTCACGTGGCCTCAAGGTGCACATGGCCTGGCACAAGCGTCGTGGTGACGTCACCGCCACTTAGTGGCGAATGGCGGTTGTTGTTGTGTGTTTAGCAGCACCTGCCCTACACGGGGGAGCTTTGCCGTTGTAGTGAAGGATGTTGCGGGCGGGGTGGTCTGGTTTGCCACAGCCTCAAGATTGCAAAACTTTGACAACGACTCGTCACGAGCGGGTGGTGGTGGTGCTGCTGGAAGGGGAACATCACCACTGGGGAGACAAAGGCGGTCGGGCGTGTACCCGTGATATAGGTACCCGCTAACAGCACTTGCCCCTACCGCCCTGCTAGAGGCTACCTGGCGTAGCTTTGTCTGTCCGTGACACTCTTAATTGGATCAATTAAGAGATGACAGACCACGTGATGTGGGCGTGATGACATCGGCCGCTGATGCAGGGCGACGTTTCAGGCGGTGGTCCTGAAAGAGGACACGCCCAACACACAGACAAAGCTCCCCCAGGTAGCCTCTAGCAGGGCGGTAGGGGCAAGTGCTGCTAGTAGCGAGTAGCACCGCCTATGATACACACACAGACAAAGCTCCCCCAGGTAGCCTCTAGCAGGGCTGTAGGGGCAAGTGCTGCTAGTAGCGAGTAGCACCGCCTATGATACACAGACAAAGCTCCCCCAGGTAGCCTCTAGCAGGGCTGTAGGGGCAAGTGCTGCTAGTAGCGAGTAGCACCGCCTATGATACACACACAAACAAAGCTCCCCCAGGTAGCCTCTAGGCGGCTGTAGGGGCAAGTGCTGCTAGTAGCGAGTAGCCCCGCCTATGATACACATGTAGTGGTGATACGCGCTGGGATTAGGGATCGTATGCCAGCGCGTAATGATTGGCTGTGTATGTGGTGACGCGCGCTGACGGTGGAGGATCAGGGGTCAGCGCGGGGTCGTGGGTTACGGGGTAATGATTGGCTGTGGGCCGGTGACGCGCTGAGAGGGAGTGACCGGGTGGCAGCGCGGTGTGATTGGTGGAGTAGTGTTAACACGCGCTGGGGAAAACGGATCGTAGAGAGAGCGCGTCGTGATTGGTTCACTAAGGAGCGATGCTCACGTCGACGTCCGCATCAGCTCCGTCTCTCGTGAGCAGGGGCTATAAAAGGGGATGCACACAGGCGTAAGGGCAGTATGTAACCAGCGAAGAATGAAGACGGGGATCGAAGAGATAGGGCCCTGCGGTACCTAGTCCCGCTGTCCTAACGGGACCGGGACTCTGTGTAACCCAGAGGCGAGTGTATTGTGTGTAGCCATAGGCATAGGGTCTACACGAGTCAAGTGTATTGTGTGTAGCCAGAGGCATAGGGTCTACACGAGTCAAGTGTATGGTGTGTAGCCAGAGGCATAGGGTCTACACGAGTCAAGTGTATTGTGTGTAGCCAGAGGCATAGGGTCTACACGAGTCAAGTGTATTGTGTGTAGCCAGAGGCATAGAGTCTACACGAGTTAAGTGGAGTGTATAGTCCAAAGAATAGAGACCACACGTTGTATTCTGACACGTCAAGATTTAATAAAAGTGTGTTACCCGTCAAGAAGTTCCTGCCGTCATTTCCAATACTTCAACTGGCGTCAGAAGTGAAACGGTCTTCCAAGCATGGATACAAGGAAGACCCGTCGGACCCACGGGATTGACCGCGGGGACAACCTTGACGACTCGGGCCAGCTGGCATCGGGGGGTGAGGACGAAGAATTGCCCACGCTGCAGGATCCGCCGACGGCGCCGGACGAGCGACGGGGGACCGATGCCGTGCTCCGGGAGGCGCACTCCGTCTGGCGGAGCTGCTGCTCGCCGCCGCGTCCATCCTGGCGGAGATCAGCTCGTCTGGAGGAGCGGGGACGGCGGCGGACATTCTACAGGGTCGCCCCGCAGATTCCCGCCAAAATGACTTGGCGATTCCCGCCATTTCATCTGCGCCGACTTTTGGCGGGAACGGCCATCACCACGTGGCAGCGGTTCTTCAAGCGCGCCCGCTTACGTCACCAATGCGCGCTGCAGACCGCCATCAGACACCCGCCACTGGGGCCGCCATCTTACGCACAGACGGGGCGGCGGTGAGGAACCACGAGGCGGAGGACGACTTCATCTTTCAACAGCGCCTTCCCACATTGTCAGCCTTCAAGGCGGAAGGCGGGGACTGGGGCCAATTTCAGCGCAGGTTTTTGGCGCATCAGGAGATGTCCGCCTGGTCCGACGCTACGGCGCTGCGGGCACTGCCTGCCATGCTGGACGACAACGCGCTCGCGGCCTTCACGTCCGCACGCAGGTCGGACCGCTCCACGCTCAAGGATGCGCTGGCTCTCATGGCCAAGGTCTACGGTCCTCCCTCGGCGTGTCGCCATCAATTTTATGCAAGGCGGAAGGCGGACACGGAGACCGTGCTTGCCTATCGCACGGCGTTGCTGGCTCTCGCCGACGCCGCGTTCCCTCGTATGGACGAGGAGGGCAAAGATGCGATGGTTTTGGAGCAACTGCTCAAGTTGGCGCAGGACCTGGGGGTCCCCATCAACACGGCCGACGAGATCGATATTCTTCCTTGCGGGTCGCTACAAGTATACAAGCGCACGAGGTCCTTCAACGTAAACAGGTGGTCGTCTGCAACGCTGCCGTGGCCTCGGCTCCGGGCCCGGTAGTCACCGAACCCCAAGTCGTCAGCCCACGAGAGGAGGCGTTCACCGCGGGACGACCGGGGGACTGGAGGTCGGGGGGTCGTTC